AATAAAATTAAAAGTCAATATGATTTCACTTAGATGAATAAAAAGTTCAAACTTATATAAGCTTGGAAATTTTTTTTTTTTTTGGTTCAATGTTATAAGTTTGTGTAAAAACTAGTCTCTTCCAGTACTACATACCCAGAAACAAAAATAGAAATTATAAAGAAAAAGAAACCAACATAAACAAGCCAAAAAAAAAAAAAAAAAATACCATACTTAATGTATATCTACTTTATTTAATATATCTATACAATTTAATTTCCCTACTTAATCTTAATTAGGGACTCAATATAATTATAAATACCATAGCAAAATTACTTAAAATTTTGCAATTCATTATAAATTTATAAAAATAAGGCAAAGTTTCCCCTAAAAACTGAACTTTCCCCTTGTAAACAAAGCATAAAATACATTCAACTATATGTATATATATATATATATATCCAACTATGATATTCAATAAAATTCAAATACAATCTGATTTCTATATAACTAAGAATAAATAGAGGGGAATTCAAGTTGTCCTAGTTAGGTAATTAATAAGGTATCCTTAATTTTAATTGATTTTTTAATATGAATAAAAATGAAAGAAAATTTCACTTAAATGAACCTCTTAGGAAACAATGATGGTAAAGAAAAAATACTTATAGTATATTCTTCAACTTGCTCATCAATATATGTTGGTATTTTATCATTTTCCTTTGGATGGTGCATTTTTTTGCATGGATCACATCAACGAATGATGGATCCCTATGTTCAAAATCTTTTTCTTTCTACAATATCACATATTCAATTATTGTATTAATTCACACAAACATTATAATTAACATTAAGATTATTATATAAATTATGATATGAAATCTAAAACATAAAAGTAAAATTTTTACCAATTTTTGCACAAAGTCATTGTAATCCATAGATCCACCTATGTGAGTTACCTTGGGGCCCTTGGCTCAATTTAGCTTTACTTGCTCTTTGCATGTGTTGAACTACAAGTCCTTTGTCCATATGTACTTTAGTTTCTCCCAAACCTCATCATACATGTATGGCTTTTTTCTATAAAATTCTTCTTCCTACATGAAGCTTGGATATTAGTCATCATTTGATTATATCATTTTTCACAAACGTGCAGAAATGCTGTATGTACAATACCCTCCTCAACAAGGTCCTACTCGTATCTATTCTGAATATATATATATATAGGTATCATATATTTGTATATTAATTGACTCATATATTAATTGTCTCATATACAAATAAAAACATGTCAATTACAAACCCGAAAAGCTTGCTAGTACATTTTCTTGTGCTCACGAGAAATTGAGTCCCACCCTATGTATGCATGATGCATATTTGTCTTAAGGATGATTAAAATTTCCTTTCAAACTTGTTTTGGTAATGTTTTCCCATCCCAATTCCCAATGATCAGCTTTCGGGAAAGATCCTTTTGCATTTTTTGAGCTATTGCAATTCTACACCCCTTTTTGGGTTAAGGAAGCGAGGGTGCACTAGAGTCAATGTCACTGCCATTACCACATGTCTACCTCGAGGTCTCCCTAACAATGGTACTCGAAGACCTAGTTGTCTACGATTGATTTTTCCTTATAGGCCTTTGAGTGGCAACATCAACAACTTGTCATCCCTACAAGCTCCAGGTATGCAATTCATTGCAAAAAACAAAATAATAATAATAATAATAATAATACTACATTAGTATATGATTGAAAAAAAATGCATTAAATTTAAAATTAAAAAAAATAAAATCAAACATGAAATTTAAATATAATATTTATACATATTAATAAACTTCACACTAAATTCTCTTTTATGTCAAGCCACCTACATATCATCTAGTGTGTTATAAAATACCATTCATACACTACAAATAATAACAAAGTTTATATATGTTACTAATTAATTAACCACTACTATCACTCTTAGAAATGTATTCAATGTTTTCTTCCTCAAATGTAGAATAATCTTCAAATTCTTCCTTCTCCTTATCCTCTTCCTCAAATTCTCTGTCATCATCCATATCCTTAAATTCTACATTAATGGTAGATACAATCCCATTAGTATGCTGAATAGGTTAATATAATATGAGATCTAACTTGGTTTGTTAGGGAGCTAGAAGGTCATCATCTTGCAAAATGGGCTCTAGATCATCATGTTGATCCTCTTGCTCATCTGGCATCTCAATAATACTTCTTGCCCTGCATTTCAATGTAGCAACCTATCCCTTCCTAACAGAATTATGTGATAGATATGGAGTATAATACACGTGTTTAGCTTGACTTGCTAAGATGAAAGACTCATATGCTCTCAGTTTTCTATTTAAATTAATATCAACAAAATAGTATTTTCAGTCAACTACAATTCCTCGTGCAAGAGGAATTTCATACCAATCGCATTTAAATGGAACAAACATTTGTCGATGTTTGGAGCCAACATATTGAAGCTTAATCACTTCTTGCAACAACTCATAAAAATCCAAATCAGATTTTGTTCTTATGGTTCCCATGACATGCACACTACTATTCATTGTTTTATTGTTTTTTCCATATGAGGTAGTGTGAGATCAAAAACTGTTTACCCAAAAGCCTTTATAGCATGAAACCATCCAAGAAGGGCCATGAGCCAAACCAATCAAATGCTCATCAATGCCCTCAAACTCCTCACATAAAAGCTATATCACATGAGTTATTTTATTAGTTATAAGTATATAATAATTAATTAAAATTTAGGATTAAACTTATTGATTTTTCAAATCATGACACAAGATAATTGAAATGTTTCATCTGTATTTGTTGGAGAGTCATATTTTGACATTCTTCCTCTTTAAAAACCGTGATCAAGCATCCATTATAAATATGTGTAAATTAAATAAATCATTTAATTTCTCAAATGCTGTTAAGGATAAGAATTAGGAAAATGGAAAATGTAATCACTCAATCCATCCCTTCAGTTCTTCACAATTCATTAGAACATAATACATTGCAGCATTACACTCTTCTGTTGTCAACACTCATTGTTGTTGTAGAGAACCAATTGGTTTTCCATGATTATTGAATATTGAAAGGCCAATATTAACTGAAGGGTCTAGGCCAACAAGATTCTTGGGGATGCAATCACCTCTTGTCTCAACTTCTCTTTCAAAATAAAGCAAGATAAATTATGAGATCTCACTCATTATGTAATTCTTGCATATTGATCCTTCTGGATGAGCTTTGTTTTTCACCAAACCCTTCAATCCATGCATTCGTCTAATTCATGAAAAATAATTAAATAATTAATAAATTAAAAAAATTATGTTTTATATTATAGATATAAAATATTAAAAAATTAGGTATTATAATAATACCTCTTAAATGGATACATCCGATGGAATTGCATTGGTCCCCCCACCTTGGCTTCATATGGAAAGTGGATTGCTAGATACTCCATCGAATTAAAAAAAAAAAAGAAAAAAAAAAAAGAAGGAAGTTTCTTTCAAGTTGGCATATTATTTCCACAATCTTCACATGCCAAATCTTCATATATGTAACATGAAAGGCTAGAGAACATAAGGCTCTAAAAAATTCACTGATCTCAATAAGTGCTTCCCAAACTTTCTTTGGGAGAAAATCACGAAATGCAATTGGAACGAGACTTTGCATGAATATGTGACAATCATGACTCTTCATCTCGCTAACTTTCGCCTCTTGCATATTCACACATCGAGAGATGTTAGATACAAAACTATTAGGAAATCTAAGGTTCTCTAGTCATTAACGCATCGATTTTCTCTGCTCCTTATTTAAGACATAAGTGGCCTTCAGGTTTTTACCTGCATTTGAGCCTCTTTCTATATACAAAGACTTGGCCTATTGCAATACAGTTCCATATCCATCATTGCCTTCAAGTTGTCCTTCATTAATGGATCATCCATGACAATGTGAAAGAAATTATCAAAACAATTTTTCTCACAGTGCATTACATCAAGGTTATGATGATTTAAGTTTGTGCTCTAATAAGGAAGCTCCCAAAAGATACTCTTTTTAACCCAATTATGCCAATTACCAAATCCTTCGATCACCTACCTTTAGGATGGCTTCCTAAATAATATATCAAGTTATTGTTGAATTTGTCGATACATATCATCACTTAACAGTCTCTTCGGTGAAGCAAGATTCTCTGCATGGCTTTCTTTAAAATCATTCTTATTTCTCTTGAATGGATGATCGGGTGGTAAAAACTATTGGTGACAATCAAAAAATGATATCTTCCGACCATTTGGAAGGTGGAATGCCTTAGAATTTCCCTAACAATACGGACATGACAATCTATCATGTGTGCTCCATCCAAATAACATGCTATATCCAGGGAAGTCACTAATTGTCCACATTAGTGCTGCTCTCATAATGAAATGTTGATACCTAAAACTATCATATGTCTAGACCCCGTTATACCAAAGTTCTTTTAATTCATCAATCAGTGGGTGTAACATGACATTAATGTTTTTTCTTGGATTATTAAGGCCTTGTATTATTAGAGAAAGAAAGATGGACTTCAGTTTCATACACATTGCTAGAGGTAGGTTGTAAATAGTCAAAAATACAGACCAGCATGAATATGGAGCTACTGTATATGCAAATGGAGTGAACCCATTTGTGCATTGTGCATAATCCAAGCCTTACATTCCTTGGATCTAACCTAAAGTCGGAGTAGGTGTGATCAAAGTGTCACGCCCCAGAACCTAAATCTGAGAACGTGGCAGACGCCGTGCACTCATGAACGGGTCCCACGAATGCACAAGGCTCGGAACCTATCCAATTCATGTTTGACAATCCAATAACTTAGATCGAATATTTCAAAATTAATTCTATGTCCAACATGACTTAAACTCAAAATCTCAAGGTCAAATCTTTTGTAAACTAACAATCCATTAAATGAATGTATAAAATCTCTAATTAAACTTTAGTTTACAAGATTATGATCTATATCTCAAATCTATATTCACTTACAAAATGGCTAGCCTTCTAACTCGTCACTCCCCTTGGTTTCCTGTCCTCAGTTTCGCTTCCTGAAATGGTGGACAAGGAAAACTATGAGATAACTCAGTAAGTAAATATGGATAGCCCGTGAGTAAAAATTTTAGCATGCCTGATAAGCAGTTTAACATATCAAAACGCTCAATGATAACTTGTTAAAAACATAATCAGATTCAGTTCAATAGCAAAACGTTTAATGACAAAACTGTTAATGCAGAATCAGAATCAAATTCAGTAGTAGTCTCATCTATAAGTCATGGCCAGCGTTTATAAACCTCCCACTGGCGGGCACAGTAGTTACCAATGTTTAACCCCATTGGCAAGGTTACAGAAGTACCAGTGTTTAACAAACTCCAATTGGCAAGCGTCAGTAATGGTACCAGTGTTTACAAACTCCCATTGGCAAGCGTCAGTAATGGTACCAGTGTTTACAAACTCCCATTGGCAGGCGTCAGTAATTACCAATGTATTCGCCCATTGGCAAGCGTCAATAGTACCAGTGTTTAACAAACTCCCATTGGCAGGCGTCAGTAATTACCAATGTATTATCCCATTGGCAGGATGAACCGGTTCTACAGAAATACATGTCGACATGTGCTAGCGTTTGCAACTCCCACTAACGGGCGTTAATAATCATGACTATATCCGAGACAAAATCATGCAGGATTTACAGAAAAACCCGAAATTCATAATCAATCTCAAATTTCATAAATAACCAGAAAATTTCCATGTGGGCATGAATTTAACAGAAAATCATAATTTCCAAAAAATTCTCAAATCATCAAAGCAGTTCAGTCAATTCCAAATAGGCATGCTCAATTCCAAAAAAAACAATGAAATTCCCACTTTCATTCCAATCATACTCAATTCCAGAAAAACAATGAAATCCTCATTTTCATTCCAATCATGCTCAATTCTAGAAAAACAATGAAATTCTCATAAAAATCATCACAATTTTCATTTCAGTTTAACCACACTCAAATGTTGATAAAATCAATTTAAACCTTGCCACCATCTCAAAAACAATTGAAAACATGCTTTAAGATCGAAGGCCTTTACCATAATTTACTTACCTCACTCGCATAAAACCGAAGACTTGATCTCAGTGCTAAACTGATAGAACGATTAAGAACCTAATCACAATATTCCACAATTAATACCGCACTACCACAAATTCAAAGTAAAATCATCATTAGAACTACCCCTAATCTCGGTGCTATTTCTATCAATCTCCACATAACCAGACATCTCCAAATTTGTTCTTATATCACAAACTAATCATTTAAATCCTTGTTAATTGTTAACCCTGGTGTGTGAACAATACTCGTGAACAGTAACTTCAACTTCTGAAATTGGCAAAACATAGCTAATTCACGGGGTTTCTCTCCAAAATCTCACAACAGTCATAATAAGTTAATTTTCTACATTAAGCAAGCTTAAAACCCATGTTTTAAGGCTGCCAAAACTCCTCCATTTCAACAGGAAACTTCCAACGGACAAAATGGAGGAACCGAGCTTGGCAAAACAGCACTAAGGCCCGGCTATGCATACAGAACATCACAATAATCCAATTCAAGCTAATTTACACTTAAATTAAACAAAACCCACTTAAAGCTACCAACTCCCGGAATAGAAAAATGGAGAAAATGGCTTGGCAAAAACCACACTCACACACGGAATTTCTCTCTAGAAATCATGGCAGCCAAATCAAGCTAAATTCTACATAATCAAGCTTAAAACACATTTAATTCACTGCCAATTCTTCCCCTGTTTTGACAGAAAATTCGGACAAGAAGGCAGCAGCTACATGTATAAATTTCAACTACTAAATGGGTAAAATTCAGCCTTGGAGAAACTAGCACATACCAGAATTCCTTTTCTTTTTTCCAGCCAGCAGAACCCGCACCAGGCGAGCATAGGGGCTGATGGAATTGCAAGGGGGATGCTCACGGCTCTACCAAAAATTGGAAGGGAATAAAGTAATCAAAGTAAACCCAACCTAAATCAAGGTTAAAGAAAGTGATTCATGGCTAAATCTTACCAGAAAAAGCCCAAAAATCTCACACACACACAGCAGCCGGCGGACAGGGGAGAAGAACAGAGCAGAACCGAGATTTTTTGGGTTGAGAGGGAAGATTCTAAGCCCCAAATCTTGTGATTTAACAAGAAAAGAAGAAGAAATTCATCAAGATCTCACCGGGTTTTTAAGGGGGAGAGAGTCGGTGGCTTGGGGGGCTTGTCGGATGCGGGGGGAGAAGAAAAGAAGGGCAGATGCACGGATAAGGAAGAAGAAAGAAAAAAAAACTCAGCCATCCTTATCCTAATTTTTTTTCTTTTTAGTTCGTCAACTTTTGAAATTTGACTATTAAGCCCCTAAATAATATTTCTTCACAATTAGGTCCCTAACTCACTTTAATATTCTAGAAATTTCGGGGTATTACACAAAGTGTTTCCATGCCTCAGCACCAGCAAGATGCACAATTTTTTTAGATTCACCACCATAGGTAAGGTGTTGTATCATGTGCTCTGCAATTTTTTGCATATGTACAACCTTTTTAGTCTAGGTGTAATTGCGAGATACCATAATGACTCCCTTGGTAAATGTTGATTTTGTTGCACATGTCTCTATTTATAATGAGGTTCACCACATATTGAACATACGATGTAGTTTTTATTTTCATATTCACCATAATATAAGAAGCAGTTATTTACATAAACATCATACTTCTTATAACCTAGACTGAAGTGCCTTATCATCTTTTTAGCACTATAAAAATCTGTTGGTATCCTAGTCCCGATCCTCTAGTTTAATCCATCTCCTATTACACTTTAACATATAATTGCAGTTAGCCACACTCATTTTATAAAATGTCTTTGCATTCATAAAATGAGACACCCATTTGAGTACTATACCACCCTTATCACATCCATCATAAAGTGGCATGTTAGTAGCTTGCAAAGGATAAAAAAATTCCTTAATTCCTTGGCATCTCTCATTGCCTCCTCAAAGATTAGCTTTTCACTAGCTTGTTCATTCATATTATATTATATACCATGTGAACTCATTGCATCCATAACCATCTCTCTAATTGGATCATTATTTGGTTCTTCCATCACAAAGGGAGTTGCACTAGAGGATTCCCCCCCATCGATGACATTGTCGCTTTTGCACTAGTTGCTCTGGTTGTTCTTTGTGGACAAGCCAGACTATATACCCATTCATAAAACCTTTTTTTATCAAATGACATAGCATAGTAACACGACGATGCCATTTTTGGTTCATACATTTAGTGTACGGACACCTAATTTGATTTCTACTAGAAAATTTTGGATTTGACTCAGAGAATGCATAATCCTAAAAGGACTCCACACCAATTTTAAATTCATCAGTAAAATAGCCATTATCAAATAAATAATGATACATCCAACCTCGATCTCCTATCATGTGAAATATTTCCTTAAATTTATAT